CCAGTAAGCAGCTCCCCTCCATGCCTCTGCATCAGCTCCTGCCCTGATTTCTCTTAGTGATAGGACTGTGACCTAAGAGCTGTAAGATGAAATAAACCTTTTCCTCCCCAAGTTGTTTTGATCATGGTGTTTCATCACAGCAATAGAAACCTAAGACTGTGTTCCATCACCTTTCATCTGATAGATTCAGTGGCCACTGTGGTCTTTGCATGAACAAAATCAAATACTGGAGTCTGTAAATGTTTTTGCTGTCCTGGGGAATCAAACAGAACTTTGTGCATGCTAGGCAAGTGCTTTAGCACTGAGCTAAGTCTCCAGCCTCCCTCTTTTAAAATATGTTTTATGATGGTATAATCTGCATACAACTTATCTCTTTTAAAAGATTTATTTTATGTGTATGAGTGTTTGCCTGCATATGTGTATACTAGGCACATGTACATGCCTGGTGCCTATTAGAAAAGAAGAAGGTGCCAGGACACCCCCCACCCAAATAGCATTTCAGGTGCTTGTGAGTCACTATGAGGATTCTGGGAACCCAAGTCTGGAAGAACAACAGTGCTCCTAACTACTAATCCTCTCCAGTCCTCAAATGTATCTATCAAAGTGACTAACATCTGGGCTTGGACAACCACAAGGACTTAGATTCTGTCACAATCAAGATACAGAATGTTCTGTAAGTCCTTCTCTAGCCCTCTGTCTCCCAACAACTGGTGATGTATATTATGTTCCTAGTTTGGGGTCTCCATAAAGCTAAATAAATGGAACCATACACTGTCATGGTTTGTGTATGGATTCTTCATAACACTCTAGAGATTCATCCAGGCAGTTTACTCCAACCATTCTGTTTCTCTGAGCTTTTGGGCAGTGTGGGTTTAGGGGTACAACCACAATTTGCTTATCCATAGGTGAGGTGACGGCCATTTGGACTGTTTTCAGTTTGGAGCTTGTGGTGGTTTGAAAGAAAATGACCCCCAAAGGGAGTAGCACTATTATAGGGTGTGGCCTTGTTGGAGGAAGTATGTCACTGTGGGGGTGGGCTTTGAGGTATCTTTTGCTCAAGCTTCCCTCAGTGTGACAGTCAGTTGACTTCCTGTTGCCTGTAAGATATAGGATGCTCGGCTATTTCTCCAACACCATTTCTGCATGCATGCTGCCATGTTTGCTGCCATGCTCCCCACCATGATGATAATGGAGTGAACCTATGGTATTTCTTACAGCCTGTCATAGTGAGGGTTACTAATGCTATGATAAAACACCATAAGCAAAAGTAAGTTGGGAAAGGGTTTATTTGGCTCACACTTCCATATAACAGTTTATCATCAAAGGAAGTCCAGCCTGCTTTCTATAGTACCCAGGATGCCAGCCCAGGGATGCCACCACCCACAATGGGTTGGGCCCTTCTCTATTGATCATTAAATAGGAAAATACCTTACAGGCTTGCCTACAGCTTGTTCCTATAGAGGCATTTTCCCAATTGAGGGTCCCTCTCTCCACTCTGATGATTCTAGCTTGTGTCAAGTTGACATAAAACCACCCAGCACACAACCTTAAGGGTTTCAACATGTTGTAGGTGATTCAACCATTATAATTTCTATTTTTTGATCAAATTACTCCATCTTTTACTTCAAACTGGTTCCAGAGACTTCCCAACCTGGTATTAATCTTTGATGGTTTCTTTGCTTTCTGGCATGACAAGATTTTCCAGATCTTACAGTGTTTGTTCCTGTGGAGTAAAAGTTTGGCTTGACCTACAGGGAAGGTGTAGCCTTTGCCTTCAGCTTTGGGGAAAGTAATCTACATCATACAGGATAGAAATGTCTTTGTTGAAGGTGGAGCTGGCCACACCTTCCAGTCTTAGAGGAGGGCTCGACACACAAGAAAGATCAACTATATTGACGTAAGGTGAGAGCTTTAGGTCATGTGATATGGGTCAACCTGGAAACTAAAAATCAACCAAGTAATCAATCAGTCAACCATGTAATCAATCAGTCAATCAATCAATCAATCACACCTACACAATGGGGCCACAATAAAAACTTTGAACACCAAGATTCTTAGCCCTTCCTTAGTTGGCATCACTCAGTCCTCTGCTGATATGGACAAGGCAGCATGTTCTGACTCCATAGGGGAGGGACCGAGAGGCTTCCAGTTTGAACCCTCCCAGAGTCCCTGCTTCCGGCCTCTCATTCTGACTTCTTTTAATGTGTGTCCCTTTCCTGTAACATTCTGTAGCCACAAGTGTAACAGAGTCTAGCAACTTGCTAAGTTCCAGTGAACCACTGAGGCCTGAGGGCATTTTGGGACTCTTGGTATGAGAAATGAAGGCTATCTTGCCGGACTGTTACATCCTATCCTACCCTGCAGTCTGGCTTATTCTGAGCACTGCTTCAGATGTGCAAGCAACAGTTCCTTTAGGGACCTGTCTCCTTTCAGTGAAAACAGTACTTGGATAACAGGCTGGCATCAGACCTCACTGCTAATGGCTGGGCAGTCAGTATTTCTAGGGTTTTTCTGTGTCCCAGAACTTTAAGAAAAAAAAAAAAAAGTGTTATCTGAAAAATAAAATAATGCAATACAACTTCCTCAGGATATTTCCAACTCAAATTTAGGCTGAGAGATAAAATTTTTACTTCTCTGACTTTAAACTTTAATTTTATCCTACTATATAATGTTTTCAGGGTACCAATATAATCATCAGGGCTGAGAATATGGCAGCGCCCACTATTCTCAACTGACAGACTCAGAAGCCATTGAGGATCTTGGCATTATCATCAGCACTAAGATGAAGGAAAACAAGTACCTCATATCTTCTTTTGTCTTCTAGAAATACAGTCAAGTTTTAGAGCATTTGAAGAACTTCCTTTCTGTGTGCCTCTGGGCTAAGATCCCGCTCAATGGTGTTCTACCTGCTTTATTTTGCTTGGTTTTTAGGAGTTAGGAACTTTTTATTTATTTTGATTTAATTCAGCTCTGTATTTTATGAAAACTATGTGCATGGTTCTAAAAGCCAAATTTATAAAACAAAGGGCCCGGTGTAGTTCAATTGGTGGGTACTTACCTAGCAGACTTACATAAAGCCCTGGGTTAGAGCCCCAGAAACACATGCAGTAGGATCTGAATTTTAAGGTCAAGGTGGTAGAGAGACAGCTCAGGGGTTAAGAGCACACACTCCTCTTGTAGGGAAGGCCACAGTTTGATTTCCAGCACCCACATGAGGCAGCTTCTAACAACCTATAACTGTAGCCCCAAGGGTTGGCCAGAGAGCACCTCTAAGCACATGTACACATATATACAATTAAAAAAAAATTCTTAAAAAAATTCAAAGTCATTCTTGGCTATACAGGGACCTTGAGGGCAGATACAAGAGACCCAATCTCAAAAACAAAACAAAGGGCTGGAGAGATGGCTCAATGGTTAAATAAGAGCACTGGCTGCTTTTATAGGGAACTTGCGTTCTATTCCCAGCATCCACACAACAGCTTATAACTCCAGTTCCAGGGGCTCTGACACCCTCTTCTGGCCTTCCTGGGCATCAGTCATTTGCATGTGGTACACAGATATACATGAAGGCAAACACCCACACATATAAGAAATTGGGAATATTTAAGGTAGATATTAAACAGTGAAGAGGAGCACTGTGAAATACTGTCTTCTGGACATGACATGGCACCACACTCACAAACTAAGCAGCTAGTCACCTGCACAAGAGTAGACCAGCCCACATCCTAGCATAGGTGGGCAGGTGATCTTTAGGCGCCATGCCTTATTGAGGAGCTACCCAAAGCTGACAGCTGCTGGGGAAGGGGAATCACTCCTTTTTGAGGGACTCAGACTTCCAACCCTCCAGTGGATGGCCCCATACCCATACACCCGTGGGCAGCACCAACTAGACTTAGTGGGATTTATTTATTTATTTATTTATTATTTTTTTGTTTTGATTTTCGAGACAGGGTTTCTCTGTGTAGCTTTGGAGCCTATTCTGGCACTCGCTCTGGAGACCAGGCTGGCCTGGAACTCACAGAGATCCCCCTGCCTCTGCCTCCCGAGTGCTGGGTTAAAGGCATGCACCACCAATGCCCGGCTCTATTTTTTTTTTTTTAAGATAAGAAGTTGGGAGGGTGGTGCACGTCTTTAATCCCAGCATTCGGGAGACAGAAGTAGGCAGTTCTCTGTGAGTCTGAAGCTACCATGATCTAAGAGATCCAGGGCAGCCAGAGGAACCCTGTCTCAAAAAACCCCCCAAGAGGTCAGAAGTTGAGAGATGAAACATTGGGTAGGCTATGGGGGGAACTGAAGGGGAAAATTGGAGATGATATTATCATATTTCATTGTATTCATGTATGAAAAACTTAAAAAGAAGAAATTATTTAAGGGGTGAGAAACAAAAGAAGAAGCAAGGTATAAAGGGAACTCAAGCTTCTGTTCTTACCCCACGTTTACTTTACTGTTGTGTCCCACTTGTGATGAACTGCAGAGTAGCTGCTGAATGCCGTTACTGAAGGTATGCCTAACAGACTAGAATTAGGTCTTAGGGTTAAATTCTTCTTCTGCTCATATTACTTTACGTTTTAGTTACTTATTTTGTGTGCATGTGGAGGTCAGAAAAGAACTTGAGGAAGTCAGTTCTCTCCTTCCACTATGTGGGTCTCTGAGATGGAACTCAGGTTGTTAGGCAAGAAGCATGTTTACCCGCTGAGCCATCTCACCCACTTCCTTCTTATTACATTTGATAAACTCTAGTTTGTATAGAAACTCCCAGGGTAAATGTTGGTTCTACTGGCTAAACAGATGATGATCACAGGTTTAACGCTGCTATTTGGGCCAGAGGTGTCTCTAAATCTCAGGCCACCTTATAAACCAATTCAACCATAAACCCATCACAATTTCTCTAAATGCACCTGCTGCCTGTGCACTGGCTTCACCCTTGGGGCAATCCTCCTGCCCCAACCTCCTGGCTTTCTTTTCTTTTAAGTTTTAAGGAGGCTTACTCAAGAACTTACCAGCCCATTGGTCCCATGGTCTCTGCTCTGGTTTTCCCACGCTTTGCCTCCTTTAGCAATTCTTCTATGGCTTTCCTGTTGGGAGAAGGGAAGACGTTAGAAAAACAGCCACAAACAAATTTCTGGAAATCATTATTGCATAAATAGAACCCTACTGAGACAACTATCTAAAATGACTAATAGTTTTCAAATCAAAACTGAAACAGAAACTGTGTGTGTGTTTAAAATTTTCATAATAGTAAAGAAATGACAGTCTGAGGCTATATAGCTCAGGGCCAGAGCACCTACCTAACATACATGAGATGCCAAGTGCTAGGTTTGATCCCTAGCACTGTTTTTAACACATACACCCCTACACCCCCCACACCACACTCCACCACACACCACACAACACACACACACACACACACACACACACACAAAACTGTAAATCCAGTTGTGTGGAAGTTGGCTGTGAGTTTGGGGCCAACCCAGCTACAATGAGATTGTTTCAGAAAAGCAAAACAACAACAGAAACTAAGAAACTAAGCAAGCCTGAAATATCAGTTAAGTCAACAATGGTAACTATTTCTGTCCATCATTAGTAAGGGCGGACTCTTTTCTCCATACATGAAGAAAAAAGTTGAGAGGGGCTGGGCATGGTGGTGCACACCTTTAATCTCAGCACCAGCTAAGTCTACACAGGGAGCTCTACATTAACCATTTAAAAACAATTCCAGACACCAACCTGCACCCATTCTAACCACAGGCATGAGACTGTACTCCGTCTGCTATGATAGCTCAGCCTTCTTTACTAAAGAGAGGACTGCTGTGTGCCCATCAGAATCACCTAACACCCAAAGTCAAATCAATTTGTTTGAGATAGCTCAGACTATTTTTCTTTTTAAAAATTTGAACATGTGTGTGTGTGTATATACACGGGCACATCAGTACACAGTGAAGATCAGAGGATGGGTTCTGGGGATCCAAGTCAGAGCAGGCTTGGTAGGTCTTCCTCACTGAGTCATCTTACACCCCCCACCCCCCATTTCTTGAGGGGTGATGTCAGTCTATGTAGTAGCAGGTATTTAAGGCAACTAAAATGAAGGACAAGAAAATGAAAGTAAAAAAAAAAAGAAAATGAAAGTAAATAATAAAGAACAAAGGAACAAGAATTTACAAAGACTAAAGTTAGAGAGCAGCTGTATCTCAAACAGTGGTTCAGAATTGAGTCAGGTGACTTGCAGACACCCAGAGCTGAGGGACAGCAATTACAATGGCCACACATACAGCACTTTCCCTGCTTTGTGCCTTCCCAAGTCTTTAAACTTACCTTTGATCAACTAACTATAAAGTACAGGACAAGCCACAGGGCGGATGGAAAAACAGGTTTAGATAAAGGATATGTTCAAACAAGCAAGAAGGCTTGGTGACAAAACACAGGCGTCTTAGGGAAGTGGCAGAAACCCGCATCACTGACGCACACCGTGCAGAATTCAAGAGGAGTTTCACTCTAGCGACCTGACTCTCTTCCCACAGGGCAGTGATGAGCCTGGGAGAGGAAGATGGAGAACATGCTACATCTTCCATGAGGGCTGCAAAGTGTGAGGGAAGCTGGGTGTGGGGACGCATGACTGCAATCCCAGCACTGAAGTCTGAGACAAGAGGATTCCCACGATTTTAAGGCAAGTACTAGGACAGCCTGGGCTACAGAGAGAGGTCCTGTCTTGAACAAACAAAAAACCATGAGCAGATGGTTGGATTTCCACAGGACAGCTGCTTCTGATGAGCCAGCAGTGATGAGTACTCTAGTGACAAGGTTGTAAGGATTTGTAGAAACAAGACAGAGTACCGGTTCTTCATGATTTACTGTCTAAAGTTAGAGATGAAGAAATTCAGGATATTTGAACTTAATTTCAGAAAACCATTCAGTTATCTGGGTCACCTGTCAGCAGCCAAGGAGGAAAGTTTACATTGCAGAGGCTTGGAAGACAAGGAAAAACTCAACTAGAACACTGGGGTAATTTGCAAAGTGAAAAGAATTATTCAGATACAAGATGAAGGTCTGGGCATGGTGATATGTGACTGAGACCCCAGCATTCAGGAGTGTGAGGCCATCCTGGCATACACAATAAAACTCAGCCTTAAAAAACACTTTTAATCCCAGCACTCGGGAGGCAGAGGCAGGCAGATCTTTGAGGCCAGTCTGGTCTCCAGAGTGTTGGGATAATAAGCATGCATGCCCCTGTGTCAGGCTTAGTTTTTGGAAATACTTGGGCCATGAATTTGAATGGAGTACTATTGAAACTCTTTCATGTCCATATGGCCCAAAGAGAAACTAGAAAAGTACCATTTAATCAACGACAGAAAAACCAAACAGAGATATGGAGGGCTACTTTTTCTAACAATGGTGATCGTCTCAGCTGCCTCTCAAGTTGTTAAGAGGTGGGTATTTCATTTGGATGAAACTGTTCTGAATTCCACAAGAAATATGAAGGCCACTTTGTACCTTTCTCATCTCTCCCTGATCCTGGCACACACACAGTGGATTCTCAGTTTGATATGGGCAATTTGCATTGAGATATGGTAAAATACAAAATTCACAAGAACTAAAACACCTCAGTAAAAACCTGACTAAAAAGTGGGGGCAGGACCTGAAGAGACACTTCCCGAAGAAAAAATGAGAGCTAGGACAGTTCAGTTGGTAGAGTGCTTGCCAGGCAAGCATGAGGACTGGAGTTTGGGTCCTGGTACCTATGCAAACATTCAGGCTGCTTGTGCTGTTGGGGGCAGCTTATCAAACCTTTAGGGGTTGGAGCCTTGCTGGAGGAGGTGCATCACTGAGGGCGGGCTTTGAGGGTTTTTAGCCTTGTCCCACCTCCTTCCCTCCTTCTCTCTTTCTCTCTGTCTCTCTCTGTCTCTCTCTCTCTCTGTCTCTCCCTCCCTCCCTCCCTCCCCCACCATATGGACATTTAACCCTCTGGAACAGTAAGCCAAAATAAACTCTTCCTAAGTTGCTTTTGGTCATGATGGTGCATCGCAGCAACAGGAAAGTGACTAATACAGTTATGTTGAAAAGGTAGCTATCCCCATCTCAGTACAGCATTCTTCATAACAGCTAAGTTTTTAACTTAACCTTGCTCATCCAGTGCAAAAACGAACAAAGAAAACTATGCATGAGTGGCACACACACACACACACACACACACACACACACACACAAGAATTGCCTTAAAAAAAAAAAAGGAAATACTGATATTTGTGACAACAAAGACAAAACACTGACCAGGGAAATGGACAGGGCACTGAGGAACAAATGCTCGGCCATCTTACTTAGACTAGAAGCTAAAAAAAAATTTAAAGTCAGAAGCAGACAGCAGAATAGTGCTAGCCAGGGCTGGGGCATAGATGGAGGGAAGGAGGGAGAGGGGTCTTGGGAGATGGCACACAAAGGAAGAGTTCAAGTGAGCTGCTGTGCACTGTGGTGACTCTAACAACAAACACTGAAGGCTTGAAGATCTCAAGAGTTCTCATCACAGAAAGAACCATGTGAAGTAATGTGCAGTTCATCAGACTGACTGTCATGTTCCACACACGTTAGACAGACTTTAAAGCAGTGGTTCTCAACCTTCCCAACGCTGCAACCCTTTAAAACAGTTCCTCGTGTTGTGGTGATGTCCAATCATAAAATTATTTTTATTGCTGTTTCATAACTGTAAGTAGCACTGTTATGAATTGTAATGTAAATATCTGTGTTTTCCAATGGTCTTAGGTGACCCCTGTGAAAGGGTCATTTAGACCCAAAAGAGTCTCGACCCACAGAGAACCATTGCTTTGAAGAACGGCATACAAAATGAATGCATACTATTTATTTATTAATTATTTTATATAATAAATACAAATACTGTATCTGTAGCAGAATAGTAGACAAAAGGTGACATGGCAATAGAGGCAAAGCAGACATAGTGAAAACATGGGCCAGAAATGAACAACACAGCCCCTGGCCCAGCAGAAACACAACTGCATCACTGATCCTGGTGACAGCAGGAAATTACAGTCAGGACTACACAAGGTAAAGTTCTTCCCTCCATGATGAAGGGTTCTGATCATTTCCTGATGTCTGAAAATCTCAGCAGGGATGCATATCTAGAAAAGACCCTTTTCCTAGCGAGTGAGAGACCCATCAGAGAGAACTGGCCTCTTGCTTTGCTTTGGCTTCACTGGACAGAAGCAGAAGCCTCATTTGTACATGCCGACACTCCCCAGACTCCATTTCCTAAAGAAGCTGCTCATGAAACAGAAGCATAAAGCATTAGCCAGCTTTGAGCCTAGCTCAGCTATGCTACCTTGCTGGCTGCAGCACTGTATCTGCTGTTACAGCGGGTCCTGCTGCTCTTAGATCCGTGGGAAGGCACAGATGGTGACAGCATGTAGTAAAGCAGAGCTGGTCAGTGACCACGAAGCAGAAACAAGAAAAGGAAGGGACTCAGGTCCCAGTATACCCGCACAGGGGCACCATAGCCCAACTTCCACTAAGCTCCATCTCTTAAAGGTTTCTCCAGCTCCCAAAGCAAGCTGGGAATAAACCCTTTAACAGATGGACCTTTGAGGCATGGGGGAGGGGTGGGAAATTCTTTTCTTCATCTCCTCTCCTTTCCCCCTCTTCCTTCCCCCTCCCTCTCCCTTTCTCTCTCTTTCCCCCCCAAATACAAGGTTTCATTATATAACTCCAGCTGTCCTGGAACTCGCTCTGTAGACTAGGCTGGCCTTAAATTTAGAGATCTGCCTGCCTCTGCCTCCCAAGTGCTAGGAATAAAGGCGTGTGTCACTAAGCCCTGCTAGTAATGTTTCCTTAATATGAGGCTCTTTTCATTTAAGGATACAGGTCAAAACATGATGATGGTGTTTCTCATGTAATGAACTACACTGAGTACAGGACTCTGGTGATAGCAACATTACATACGACATATGAGGGTACCCAGTTTGTCTCAGGCAATGTTTCCTTGAATACTGACATAATCTACACTATTGGGGATGTGATACAAAATAATGGCAACAGTACCTATATACATACCAAGTACCTATGCCTAATCCTC